AAGAAAATTAATTATCGATAGGTAAAATATTTTTTAATTTTACCAATTGGCCAACAATATTGTTTTTTTTTCAAAGTTTTTCTGTATAGGTATAATAATAATTATCTATTTTGTTCTTTTGATGTTTATAGTTTATTTATGTGCATGTGTTTATTGATAAAGTACAAAATAAAATTACGTTCATATAAGTTTAATATTTATTTCTCAAAATTGGAGGAAAACCCAAAGTCAGTACGTTATCTTTCAAATTCAATATGTTTTTATTGCCATTTCAGTACTTTAATTTTTCTACTACTGGCAACACTGTCTGTGCGTCAGTTTAAGAAGTGCACTGAGACTTTGCGTACGTCTTTGTAAGAATAAAAAAGTATTTTCTCAAATAAAATGGTTTTTACCCGTGAGGAAAAATACCAAATTATGGTATGGCATCACCAGGGCCGTAGCGACGGACTCAGGGGCCCCGGTGCAAAACTTTAGGATAGGATAGGATATCGAAAATTACGATTTTTTAGTAAAACTTTTTAGTTTTGGGGGCCCCTTTGAGGTCGGGGGCCCTGGTGCACCGCACCGCCTGCACCAGCCTCGCTACGGCCCTGGGCATCACACTGGTAGATCGTATCGCCAAATACAAACTTTATTTCAAAATAGGCCTTTACCCAGTGTAGCTACAATCCGCGGCATGCCGCGCTGTTGCCATATACTATTATTGTTTCCTAAAAGGGTTGTTTTTCTTAATTTTTAATATTAAAAGTAAGAAAATTAACTAAATCAAATTATTTTTGACATATTATTAATTTTTTTGTTATTTTTAAAGTTTCAAACAAATAAAATTCAACTATTTATTAAATAATTATAATCGTTCTCTTCTGATTTAAAACAACCTGGCAACTATGGTTCGTAATTACGAATGGCTTGGTTTAAACCACGCCCAATTAAAGTTTGTTTCATTTTCTCTGATCAGAATATAATTTGTCATCCTTGTCTCCAGCCTTACTTACTTGATTCTATACAGTCTGTATATAGCATAAACAAAAAATAATATTTATCTCATAGAAAACCATCGAAAAAGTATTCGACATTTGAAAACGAATGCCTAATTCCGCTCGCAGTAAACCACTCGCAATTGGTGCATGCGCATACGTACCCATTGTGAGCGGTCAAGAATACGAAATACACGTCTCGAATGCAGTGTCGTATACGTTTATAAAAGTCGAGCACTTAAACTAAAATAAAGGTATTTTCAATAAAATGAACCGTTTTCGAGAAAAAGAATAATAAACAAATTTATGTTTTATTTTTAATAAAAAGGACCATAAAAAAATAATGTAACGTATTGTTGCAAACCTTAAATTGAAGGACGATAATTCGAAACAATGATTTAAAAACTTTATAAGAGGGTTCAACATGGGCTCCGTGAACTCTGGTAAATTCGCGGGAACAACGAATTGAGGACTGCTGTACCCGCCACAATAACCCAGCATTGTTTCTTATCATATTACAATGAAACGTGATTATCTGTAGAAGTTCCCTAGTATCGATCGGAGTGGAATACACCAAGATTTTTAGGTGTTCCCACAGGAAAAAATCCATTAGCGTAAGGTCGGGAGATCGAGGAGGCCAGTCAATAGTCAATAGGTCCTCCTCTACCTATCCAACGATTTGGATAAACGTTATTCAAGTGCTTCCGCACAGCAACGCTGAAATGAGGTGGTGCCCTATCGTGCAAGAAGTATATGTTTAGGCGGGTTTCAAGTGGAAAGGGGTCTATTAAATCCCGAAAAGCGTTCTGGAGAAACTCCAAATAAAGTTGTCCATTCAATCGTGCCGGAAATACAATTGGTCCAATAAAAATATTGCCAATGATTCCTGCCCACATATTAAAATGTTTTCTACACAAAAAAGGTACTCTTGGTCATAAGCTTTAAAGTTGACCGTTTTCGAGAAAATGTGCGAAATGCGTTACCTTTACGGTTTGGAGAATTTTGCAAAGACAACTTTTGAACCATTTTTTTTTTTTTTTTAATTAATTGCAATTATCGTTTGGTTTTGTTACTTGTTCTAAAGTTAAAATAAATTTTGTTTAATTAGTAAAAAAAAAAATGTTTCAAATAATTGACCATAAACATAAACGATGATTTTTCTCGAAAACGGTCAACTTTAGAGCTTATGACCAAGAGTACCTTTTTTGTGTAGAAAACATTGGCGGTTCGAATGAGCCTCTCAAAACCGTACTTTTTTCAGGGGCGTAGAAGTTGAGGAGAAAAACACCCGCTACCCCTTCAAAATCTCCACCAATTATGAGTAAACAAAATTTTTTTCTGGCACAAAACATAGCTTATTATGAGTAGAAAATGCTTACAAAAGCTGTTTTTGTACGATAAACGGTTCCGGAGATATTCGAAAAAAAACGATTTTTTTTCTAAAATTTCAACACCCTGGATCTCGAAAATTGTGCATTTTAGAGGGTAGTTAATAGCGACTTTTTTCATCTTTTTGGATGAGCTATCACATCCTGCGCATATATTATGAAACACCCTGTATAGTTAACGATTTATCCGATAAACTTTTCGATAGACTTTTTCATCTCTCAAAAGAATTGGCAATGTTTCTTATAAATCTTTTGTAAAATGACTTATCTCATGCCCATCATGCCTCAGATTTAGATGTACAAACAATTTTTTCCTATTCCTTTTGGGCTTCCTTCTACGTAAAATTATTTGAAAATTTTCCACTTTGCAATGCTTCATTCTATTAAATGGATTACGTTCATTTAACTTCTTAATGTTAATGTTAATCTTAATCTTAATGTTAACTTAATGTTAATTTGTGCTGCATAAATCCAGCATTATGCTGGATTTATGCAGCACAAATTAACATTAAGTTAACATTAAGATTAACATTAACATTAAGGGCCGGTTTTTCAATCGTTGGTTAAGTTTAACTTACGGTTAACTTTCTTAGATACTATTGTGTTAACAATAATATCCAAGGAAATTAACCGTAAGATAAAGTTAACCAACGATTGAAAAACCGGCCCTAAGAAGTTAAATGAACGTAATCCATTGGAAGCTTTTATGCAACACATTAACATTAACTTTAGCATTAAGTTAACATTAAGAGATGGCCAACTTTTATCTTCTTAATGATAATGTTAATTTTTATTCCTCCTGCGCAGGTTTGCGGCGAAATTTTTAAATAAACCGTGTCAGTAATGCCAACATACCCGAAAAAAAATGAAACTTACTGCTGAATGATTGATATTTATTTAATGATTGTGTTCTTTGGTTTATTGTTTGACGTGGAGTTTAAAGTTTTCATTTATTTTACTTAACAGATGCTAAAACGGGATTAAAACAAAATTCAAACAAACCAAAAATGTCAGATGTCAAAATTACTTTAACTTATACGCATGCTTAATTTGCTACTAATTTTGCTGCATAAATACCCTCTTATTAATCTTAATCTTAATGTTAATGTTAAAGTTAATCTTAATGTTAATTTGTGCTGCATAAATCCACCATAATTTAATTAAAGTTTTCTTTTGCTTTTTAATGCCCATCATGTTACACACAAATAGCACAGTTGTAGACGGGCTTTGCAATTGTATAAATTATATTTCTATGTCAAACAATATAAACACAAACACAATGTCCATGAGAATGTCAATTTGACATTCAGATACTAGCTTTGACATTGTCAAAGCTGGTAACTACAACTACATTAAACATAAATAAACTAACACACGCGGTGTTGCCGGATCAACCACTCGTTTAATTTTGTCGTGTACGTTTTCAATCGCGATGATTTGTCGAGGATACCATTTTTTAAAACCATTCGCAAATGAATCGCTCGACTTCATGTCGTATTAGACTGGGCCAAAAAAATCGACTATTTTTTTTGTATATCTATATCGAAAATATTGTTTGGGGTGACAAAAAAAATATGGTGAAAGTTTGAGTCCATAATATTAATATTAAGAGGTCTATCATCGCAATTTTAGATTTTTTTTCCTGAGCGAGTTTTTGTCTCAGAACTCCCAAATCATTGAGTTTAACAAAATTGACTTAAGAATAGTTTTTGAAGAAAATTGAATGCTCTACAAAAAAAGGTTTGATTGGAATTTCCCGTCAGATGAACCGTTTTTTTACAATCATGCCTTAAAAATTGGTATAGTCTTACAATTTGATCTTTTAACTTGGAATTTTGTAATTCATGTAAAAATCAGTACCCTGAAAAAAAAACGATAAATATTCTTATGGGAAATCAAATGCTCTACAAAAGTCTTTTATCATTTTTGGCTAAATTCACTCCATCAAAAGTTATTAAAGGTTAAATTTGAAGTCAAAACGAAATTTTAACCTTGAATAACTTTTGATTGAGTAAATTTAGCCAAAAATGTTGAGAGGCTTTTTTTGTAAAGCATTTGATTTCCCATAAGAATATTTATCGGTTTTTTATGGGTACTGATTTTTACATGAATTACAAAATTCCAATTTAAAAGATCAAAATGTAAAACTATACCAATTTTTAAGGCATGATTTTAAGAAAACGGTTCATCTGACGGAAAATTTCACCTTAACCTTTTTTGTAGAGCATTTAATTTTCTTAAAAAAATATTTTCGAGTCAATTTTGTTAAACTCAATGGTTTTGGAGTTCCGAGACAAAAACTTGCTGAGCAAAAAAAAATTAAAATTGCGATAGACCTCTTAATATTAATATTATGGACTCAAACTTTCAAAATATTTTTTTTGTCACCCAAAACCATGTTTTCGATATACTTTTCAAAAAAAAAATTGTTGAATTTTTGGCCCAGTCTAATGTCGATGTCGACGATCGCGCACCAGTCACGTGGTGGGACTGTCATGTGTAGAGCATAGTACCGTATCAATTTTTTTTTGCCATTTGCATTAGTTTTTTATCACTATACATACCATTGCAATGTATATGGTAATAATTAAATTTTTAAATTATAAGTACACATATATTAAAATTTATTTACCTAGAGGAAACATTGTTCTTCTTAAAGCTTCTTGCTCAATTTGGCACAGAAAAAATGTTTGGTCCTTTTTTTTGTCAGCTGCCAGAAGCATACTAACATCTAAAAAATATTAATTTTTCTAAGGAATACCTAACATAAAAATTTAATAAAACACCTTTATCCATTTGGTAATTCTCTAAGTAAGGGCCAAAACTAGTTTTGGCGTAGTGTCCTGTAGCAATTGCATCTGCATTTAAAATACATTTAGCATAATTGTAAAAATATTTAAATTTTATGTTTTTGTTACATAAAATATCAGGGTTTGGTGTACATCCTACTTCATATTCTTTTATTAAATTTCTAAAATTACAAACCTAGGGATATTAAAATATTTTTTTACTTCTTATACTGAACACACATAAATACCTCATTCCAATACTCTTTTACATAATTAACAGGATGTAAATTTATTTTTAACTTATCACATACTATGGAGGCATCTCTATAATCTTTACTGGTTGAGCAACTACCTTTTTCGTCAGCAATGTCCCAATTTTGCATAAAAACGCCCTGTACATCATAACCTAAAATATATTTTTGTACAAATACAAGTCAAAATAATACTTGTACCTTTCTGTTTTAACAATAAAGCTGTAACGGCACTATCAACCCCTCCAGATATACCCACAACAACTTTTCTTATTTTTAACATTTGAAAATGTGTCTACTTTAGACTCCAGTGTTGCCAGTAGTAGAAAAATCAGCGTTGCCAACCTTTTCGTTCGAAAAATCCTGAGTTCTCTAGTCAATTATCCGTAGAAATCCGTGGGTGAAGGGTAAGTGCTCATTCATAATGGACGTAACCATAAGATGCCCGTAAGAAATACGTAAAACGTAAAGTTGAACATTAACAAAACCAGTGTGCCTGTTTATAATGAATAGCCGTAATTTTTACGTTTTACGTTCGAACATAAGATCTTATGGGTGACCGTAAAAAATACGTAAGTGCTCATTCATAATGGACGTAACCATAAGATGCCCGTAAACGTAAACGTAAACGTAAACATAATATCACCATAATTTGTACGTAACGATGAGTTGTGTTTATAATGAACGTATGGCTTATGTATATATTAATAAGGCGCGCATGTCCAAGTTCACTAAAATGGCAGCATTGACAGATTTCGTCTAATTATTATGTCTTAAAACTTAAAAGTTTTAAGGCATAATAATTATAATTATAATTATTATAAATAAACTACTCAAAACGAATTAAGGACCACTTTTTAAAATACATGTATCTTTTTTAACTTTTAAGCAACCCTCGTATATTTTTATAGGCTTGTACTCATATTATGTATAATTTATTTTATGTAAACAAACTTTTTTTGTTTTCATAACTTTTTGTAGAAATGCGATTTGTTTAAAAAACAGTGCATTTTAACATTTATTGTAAGTCATTTTAGTCGTTGTTGTGCATTGTGATAAGTTCAATAATTAATTAAAATGAATGTTGATGCTCTAGGAAGGCCTTTTCATCAAAGAAGGCATTTAAATCAGGTTGAAGTAGTGACAGCAGTTACTTTATTTCAAGAAGAACATTCGGTTAGAAGTATTGCCCGAAGACTTCAAACAAGTCATTCGGTAATTTCTAGACTTCTTAACAGACATAGAGAATTTGGTTTTATCACTAGAAGACCTTATCCGGCAAGAGAACGAGTCACAAACCCACGTGAGGACCGTAATTTGGTAAGGTTAGCCACCCAAAACCGAGCCAGAACAGCAAGAAACATTGCTGATTTACATTTTGACGCCAGCGCAAGGCGAATATCCACTCAGACAGTTAGAAATAGACTTCATGAAGCCCATCTACGTTCCAGAGTCCGAGCTGTTAGGCCCCAGTTAACCCGTGCGCACCGAAGAGCTCGATTAACTTTTTTCAAAATCATATCAATTGGGATATGGATCAGTGGGGACACGTGCTCTTTTCAGATGAGTCTAGATTTCGACTTAGCCACAACGATGCACGTGTACGAGCATGGAGGCGTAGAGGTGAGCGTTATTTAGATTCAACTGTTCAGAAACTGTTCACTTTGGAGGTGGCTCACTTATGGTCTGGGGAGGTATAACTTTAACGGGACGTACAGGTTTGCATATCTGTAGGGATGGTGTGGTAAATGCTCATAGGTATTTGGAAGATATTGTAGAACCAGAGTTGGGAGTACTGAGTATTTTTTTTAATGGATTATGCTATCATTACTAATTATTACTTGATTTTATAATTGTAATGAGAGAAAAATATTGAGTACTTTTTATTTTTACTTTACCAATTTGATAATTACAATTCTTTTTTTATTTTGTAATTATAATCAGAGAAAATATCAAGTACTTTTTATTTTAACTTAAAATGTTTACTGATTCTAAATATTTTTTTATTTTATTTGATAATTTGTTAATTACATTTTTTTTTTTATTTTCTAATTATAATCAGAGAAAATATCAAGTACTTTTTATTTTAACTTAAAATGTTTACTGATTCTAAATATTTTTTTATTTTATAATTAAAAAATAATAAAGAACAGAATACATTATATATTTTTTTTTGATTTGATCAGAATGGTGAATAAGGATACTTCCGTGCTTGTTTATGTTTTTATTGCGACTAGTTTCGATCTATATTAGATCATCTTCAGGCAAACTACAAAAATATGTAAAATTATTATAAGGTTATGTTAACATAATAATGATAAAATTAACGCCGTGTCTAGAGTCCCGTCAGACGGTTCCCTATTGCGCTCCCGTTAACAGAGTGACGTCATCCAATGACGCAATCTTAGGACGGGAAGCAGATATTTTTTCCTTAACTAACGTCCCGAGTCCGCCCGCTTCGAAACCAACCCAAACCAAACAACCCAACCCAACCGACCCCGTATATACAGTATTTATAATTATTAATTAAATTTTGTTTTTTATTTTCAGTCGGTCCCGTTAAAAAATACTTCGTACTTGTATTTTTATTTATATTTTAAGTACAATCAATTTTTTACTTTGACTTTAAACTTTTTGCATTACGAAGTACTAAAAAATATTATTTATTCAAATTAATAAGTACAATTATTTTTGTATTTTTACTTTAAATCAATTTAGAGTAAAAAATACAATGTATTGATAATTTTTATTTTCTCCATTCTCAAGTAACTTAAATATTCTAATGGCAATACTTTTTAAGTACAAATTATTTTTGTATTTTTACTTTAAATCAATTTAGAGTAAAAAATACAATGTATTGATAATTTTTATTTTCTCCATTCTCAAGTAACTTAAATATTCTAATGGCAATACTTTTTAAGTACAAATCTCGCAACTCTGTGTAGAACCCTATATAGTCCCATTTGCCGCAGAAGAAGGTCCACAGTTTATTCTACAGCATGACAATGCGAGGCCCCACACTGCTCGTATTGTCACAATATCTTGAGGAGAATAATATCGAGGTTTTAGAGTGGCCCGCAAACTCCCCGGATCTAAATCCTATTGAGCATCTCTGGGATGTTCTTCAGAGAAGGATAAGGGATCGTCCGGCACCAGAAAATTTGGAACAGCTTGGAGAAATGCTTCAAGAGGAATGGAACAATATTCCCAGAGAAGTAATCAGAAATTTAGTGGAATCGATGCCTAGACGATGTGAAGAAGTTCGGCTAGCCAGAGGAAGACACACACATTACTAATTTTGTTGAAAATATTATTTATAGTTTATTTAAAAAAAAAAACATTTGTGAAAAATTAAAGTTTTATTTTCCAAGCGTTTATTTTTTATTTGATTTATAAAATATATACTCCATTTAAAACCCTAATGTTTTTCAGAACTAACAGCAGTTACAGAATGTAAAAAAAAATTTTGATTAAAAGTTATAAACAAGTTTAAAAGTGGTCCTTAATTCGTTTTGAGTAGTTTATAAATTAAGTTAAAACTATCAGTGTTATTATAATTATTAGTGTAATGAGCGATATATACGTTGGCAAAGAGAAGAAAAAAAGGGCGAATTTCGTCGAATAATACTCAAACTAAAACTTTAGGATAATGAATGGTTCTTTAGATTGTTTGTTCTGTGGATACACCAGAATACACTTGAAAAAGATCTGTCATCTGTTTGCATGGCTACTACCCTGATTGCTACCAACAATGTTCTAGTGAAATCATGAAAGTTACTAAAATTCACACATAAGAAACCCGTAAAGTTGAGATGATTTCAACTTTACGTATTTTTTACGGTCACCCATAAGATCTTATGTTCGAACGTAAAACGTAAAAATTACGGCTATTCATTATAAACAGGCACACTGGTTTTGTTAATGTTCAACTTTACGTTTTACGTATTTCTTACGGGCATCTTATGGTTACGTCCATTATGAATGAGCACTAAAGTTGAAATCATCTCAACTTTACGGGTTTCTTATGTGTGAATTTTAGTAACTTTCATGATTTCACTAGAACATTGTTGGTAGCAATCAGGGTAGTAGCCATGCAAACAGATGACAGATATTTTTCAAGTGTATTCTGGTGTATCCACAGAACAAACAATCTAAAGAACCATTCATTATCCTAAAGTTTTAGTTTGAGTATTATTCGACGAAATTCGTTCTTTTTTTCTTCTCTTTGCCAACGTATATATCGCTCATTACACTAATAATTATAATAACACTGATAGTTTTAACTTAATTTATATTTATAATAGTCGTTTTTTCGCGTAAATACCATGAAATACTATGGTTATTAAACTTAACCTTGGTTAATAGTTAAGGCATTTTTGCGTTTAGAGTGCGTTCAAAAATCCTAACTATGACGTCACAAATACCAGACCATAAAACTATATCGCTGAGCTAGTTATTCAACGTGGTTAATAGTCTTTTTCTTTTTAATATATATTTTTCTGTTTCGATCTGTCAAAAAGTTGTTTACATTTGAAATTTAAAATATTTTAAGTAGGTACAATTGCTCTTAAACCGAATTTACACTTTGTATTAAAATGGTAAACGGGGTGTTGTCAGTAAAAATAAATGATAGGGTGCTCCATATTGTGGACTCTCCACAAGTGGAGGTATTATATGCAGGTTTGTTTTATATTCTTTCTTATTTTGTATTAAACATTTAGGAGAATTGGATAACGTGTACTGAAAAAACTAGTATTTAATTTAATTAATTTATTTACACCGGTAAAAGCATAGAAATTAAATATAAATAGGTAAAAACCACAGACCTACAAACAGGTCTGTGGTAAAAACACATTTCAAAAATTATAGGTTATGAACAAGTAAACAAATGTCAAATGTTAGAAACCTAACCATGGTTATATCATGGTTATATGAATTAACTGTGACGTCATGACTTATTTAACCGTAGTATTACATAGTATTTACGCGAAAAAACGACTAATAATTATAATTATTATGCCTTAAAACTTTTAAGTTTTAAGACATAATAATTAGACGAAATCTGTCAATGCTGCCATTTTAGTGAACTTGGACATGCGCGCCTTATTAATAGCTTTGTTCGCGGAGCTCATCCGTGATCAATCCGCGACAACTGCGCATGCGCACTGGCAATTTTAGCGTTCGCGGTGTAAAAATCGGCAACATTTGACATATGATCACTCGTTCGCGGAGCCTTCGAACTAATTACTGACAAGTCAAAACGATCCGAGGATTTTAGCATGTACTAGCTGTCAGACATGCGTATTGTTCATTATTGTT